CAATTTAGGCTCAAGAATGACCTGCAAAGGAGTCCGGATGAAGGAGATATGCCCATTTAAAGTCAAACCCAAAAAGCAGATTTTTTGTCCAGCCACTGAATGAGGCTTGCCGGCCATGTGCCGGCCAGGAGTGTTGCTTCCTGCCAGAAATGGACCTTTGCCGGCCATTGGTGCAAAAAGGCAATTTTTTGTAAATATTTGTCCTCCAGCTATTCTAGCTGTCCATTTTGAGATATTTTCGACCTCAGCTCTCATTTTTCTATATATAGAGGGCCTTCTCTATTGTTTTCAAGGTTAGAAAGATTTGGAAGCCTCTCTCTCCACAATCCTCTCTCTACAATTCGCTCTCTCTCTAGATTTCTCTCTCTCTTGCCCTTTTGTGCATACAAGTAGAGGTATACTTCTAGTTTGCCTAGCAATCCTTAATCAAACTTGACCACAATTGAGTTGAGCTTACTTGAGGCCCTCTTTGAGCTCTAGAAGAGAATTTTGGCTTGATTTAGCTTGTTTTGTTGCTCTAAATTGCATCTTGTCTGTAAAAGGTAGAACACTTGTATTTTAAGCTTGTTTTAAATATTTTTTTTGCCATCTTTACATACTATTTTTGAGCTGGTTTTGAACTCCAAAAACTCTATTTTTATGGTTTAAAAATGGTGGTTTGAGGCTTATTTTGAGTTAGGGGTAGTTCACCTTTTTGTTTATTTGCTTGTTAAGCTTTTGTGCCGTCTTGCAAGGCTTTGAAATAAACTTTTTTTGGCCTTTTAACCATTGAATTTTAGAGTATTTTCAATGGTAGAAAACATGCTTTGAAGTCCAAAATTGGAGGGGTTAGCCTCCCCTCCTTGTGTCTTGCTTGCATGGCTAGTTAGCTTCATATGTTAGCATGTTTTTGTAGCTTAACTTAGCTTATTTCCAACATGTTTTTGCTTCTGATTTGGGCTGCTTTGGCTTTGTTTTGGGCCGTTTGTGTTGTATGAGTAGTGTTTTGCATAGTTGTAGTGTAAAGGGTTTCACTAGTTTAGTGTTTTAGGCCTTTAAACATGAATTGCATGAGTTGCTTGCATATTTTAGTGTTATTTCGCACCCCATTTCAGTACTGAAATCTCTACAATCTCCCTCTATTCTTCAATCTTTTGTTTACTTTGAAAGCAGTTTTAAACCCCTTGTTTGCTTAAGTGTGAAATTGAGACATTCATGCTTTTGGGAGTTCATTATCAACGGCATGAGGTCTCTTTCATGCCCAAGGCACTTGTTGTTTAAGCCCTCTTTCCATTAGAGGACACTCACTTTTGGACTAATCAATTAAAGAATGGATTGGTAATCTAAAATGTGTAAACAAAAATGAACAAGTAAAAGAGGCAAGATAACATCTTTTTGTGTTGCATTGCATGTGTTCGGATCGGACGTTAATTTGAACACAGGGAAAATGGGATGTTTCATATTCAAAGTGATGAAACGTGCCACTTTCCTTGGTCACCACCACCCTTGATCATGCATGATAGGGTAATGGTTTTATTGAGTCTTGTTTTGCAGTCATTAAGCTTGTACAAGCTTGGTTCATTAGCCATCATGCATGAAAATGCTTGGTTGATGGTTTAAGGGCCAAGAGCTACACTCCTTTGAGCTTGTGTGATGATAAGGAGGATAGCAGTACATACACTCCTTGAGAATACACTGTTTTGCTTATGTTTGCTCTCTATTGCAGCAAAAAAGGAAGTTCAAGGAAGGGGTTGCCGACCGACCACCAGTAGCAACCGACTGGCCACCATTGGCCACCATTGGTAGCCGACCGGCCATCAATGAAGAAGGTTGCTCTGTGTACTCTTGAAAGGGATCAGAGGTGTTTTGGGAGTTAGCACAATTTTCAGTGATCAAATATGTGCAAACAGAGGCTGCAATGGCAAGGCGGCGGCATTTTCGGGAGAAGAATCTGAGCATGCATGCATCTCTCGCTCCTCGAGGCCATTTACTTGCTTTGTAATTAGTTAGTTAAAGTGTTTAGCTAATTAATTCATTTTGTAATATTTGATTAGCTTAGAATGGTTAATTAAATATCATGTTGTAATAATTAGTTAACTAGAATAGTTAATTAATTCGTTGTGTAATAGTTAGCTTAATTAGCGTAGCTAGTTGGTTAGCTTATTCATTCGAACCCTCCTTTGCGAGGGCATAATGTTGCAATAAGTGTGCGTGCGTGTGTGTATGTTTTCCAACCTCACGTATTTCTTCCTTTTATTTAATCGCTTTCGATGGTTAGATTATGGACATTTTCAATTAGCATGCTTTATGCTCGCATGTTTGCATCCATTCATTTGTCTTGCATGCACCGGGGTTTGGCGCATCATTCAAACTGCATTGTAATTTCAATACTTCTTTGAATACGTGTTTAACCGTATGTTCAAATTGATTCATATGCCATATTAGTAGCCGAGCCTATTAATTGCATTATTGCATGTGTTGCATTAGACATCTCAACATAGTTAGGATCATGCATCTTTCTAACTAGTTTCTGTTTTGGCTTGGAGTACCCGGTGAGTTTTATGCTTTAGCATACTTACATGAGTGTTATTGCCATGATGCCATGTTTCGCATGCTTGCCCTGAGGCTATATGCTTACTTGCTAAACTGCATGAATGTCTGTGGATGAAGGCTTGTTGTTTGAATTGGAACGATTCAACAAATGTGAGTTTTAAGCCCACTTTGTGGTGACAAATCATGTTTGAAGTCCACTTGAGCTGGCAAATCCGTATATTTAAGCCCACTTGAGGGTGGCAAATTCAAACCCTTTTTGAAAACAAACATGAGTTGAGCTGTTCCAATTCTTGCAATTTTAGTCTATACTTGTGTGTGAGCATCACATACTAAAACTAGTTTAATAACCGAAATAAGAACGCCTAATGTTTATAAAATGACATATCATGATTAGTAGAGGCCGATCTTTGATCGGGCGAGCGGGGGTGCTCATTTCAAGACCTTCCCCTCTCGTACCCAAGTTCCCGAGCCGAGGCACCTTTGGTGATGACGGACACGTAGCCTTTAGCATGAGTAAGGATTTCTTAAATTTTCCCAAAAATAAAATATTTAGGTAGCGACTCTGTAATCTAGCAAAACAGTCCAATTTTGGCATTGTTTGATTTAAAATCGATTTTTCAAATAGATTTGTCGGATTGAACTCTTTGGTGATTATCAGTTTCACATTGCACTTGTGAGACTAGATTCAAAATCGTAGGAGTCCGAACTGTGAGGCCTTCTTTTCAAACCCTTTCCGAAAGGCGGGGCGCGGAAAAAGGCGAGTCCACAACTAGAGATCCCAAGATCTAGGTTCAAAGGGACAGCCGAGTTGTGTATGACTCGTAAGGATTACTGGGGAGTCAAAACTCCTACCTATTTCTATGAAAAAATAGTGATGTCTGCAGCATTTTAGGTTAAGTAATACTTTTAATGATTCTTATATCTAGGAATACCTAGTGAAGTATGGTAGGATACTCTTCATAAGAATCACCCATATGAGTGTGAACTGGGCTGGTTCTTTGAGATTTGTGAAGGGTTACAATTCTCTAGAGCACTCATAAAAGACCAGGTTGTTTAGGGCCAAAATGAATACAACAATGAGAACTAAGTGTCTGGTAATACTTTGTGTGAGTTATATTGTCTTAGTTTACACAAATGGCTGAACAGTTTAAGACATTATGTTCACTAGTTAGCTAGTAAATCTAATAGTGTCTTACAAAGAAAGGTTCAAAGCCAAAAGCTACCTTTCCTTTGCAGAATATTTTCAATTTCTGTACTCTCTATAATTAGATCATGTTGTTGCATTTTCTCTCCATCAAATTCCATTCATGTGGGGGATTGTTGGAATATGATTTTTCATAGGCTTATTTTGGGCTAACTTTGAGCCCAAATTTGAGTGGGGCCCTCACATATTTTGGGGTGGGTCCAAAGAGGTGACGTGTTCCTTACCGCATGGCAAATCACATGGTGCAAACAGTTCACCAAAATCATTTATGAGTGAATGGGAACTTGACATTGTTTTCGGGTTCGTGGAATGGATAATTAAAGAAGTAAAATGTGAGTTTCCTTGAAATGGTTGTCCCACATTGAAAGTTAAAGAGAACTTATGTGTGTATATAAGTTTTAGGTGGAAATACTTGGGTTAGGCCCCAAGGGACACCCCAAGTTTGTAGAAGGAAGGAGTTATGGACAAAGTGAGCCTTGACTAAAACTACCACACAAGCGCGCTGCTGTCAGTCCGTCCGTCTGAACGGCCGAACCAGGCCAGGTGCGGGTTGTGGATTGGGTCTTAATATTAATTTTTTGAACAAAATTTATTTGAATTTTTTCCAAAAATTCTTGCAGGAAAATTATTTTTTCTTAACGAAATTAATTCAAATTTTTCGTCAAATTTGAATTCAATTTTCTATCAAAAATAGTGCCTCCTTCGGTCCAATTTCTAGTAGTCTAGTAGACAGATTCAAATTGTGTACCGAACAGGTTCAATTTCAAACCATACATGTTCAGTTTGAACCATACTTGTTTGATTTGAATTTGTATCTGTTCAATTCAAATTCATACCTGTTCGGGTCTATCCTAACAGTCACCACTTGCCTATAAATACTGAATCATTCCAATAGATTTCTACATCTAGAAAATTCATTTCTCTTCTCGATTTTTCTCTCTCTTTGCGTTATTCTTCATACTAGTTTCTAGAGAAATTTTTGAGAGTATAGAATACAAGTTTTAGTTCACCGTACAGATTGTTTGGAGTGCTACTACAATCTGTGTAAATCATTATATCTTAGGAGATAGTCGCCATTTATCCGTAAACACCAAAACAGGGCGAATTTGTCTTAAGGACAGAGTGTCACACACTCGACTTGATCAATTTTTGTACTTATTCATTTCGATAAATAAATTCTGTAAGTAATTTATTTTTAATTGCTTAATTTATTTTTAAATTATTTATTTTATACAGAAGATTATTCCAACAATAGGATGGCGAAACCTCGTCCTCCATCGTCCATCACCTCCATAGGCTTGAAGAAAAAGCAGATTCGTCGTCTACCTCTTCTTCGCCACCACAAACATCACCTACTCCGTAGCCACCGACGAACACCACTAACGACCTTTAGGTTGTCCTCGTCTTTGTCCGCAAAGATACGATGGTATGTTTGGTTTGTTTTTACTTTTGAGATTGGAGAATTTAGGTAATGATTTGTGAATGTGTGGTTTTGCAGTGGGTAGATTCGACTTTTCGTTGGAGGATCCTGAGTATCATCAAGAGACTTTGGACAACTTGAGGGCTGCTATGAAGACGACTAAGAATTGGTTCCGCCATTGATCTCCTTCAAACTCGAACCTCTCTCACATCCGATTATCCTCTTCTTCTTTTTTTTAATAGATGATTTTGATTATTTTTTTCTTCTTTGTTATTGTTGTTGAGAAACAGATTGCATCAGACAAAATAAAAATAAAAAGATTTTGACAACCTCTCTCTCCCCCATCTCTCTCTATGTATGTATATGTGTGTGTATCTATGAGAATGAACGAACATATGGCAAGTCAAAGAAGATGAAGAGGGGAGAGCCATCCATTTTAGTGAATGAACAAATATACATACATATATATATATATATATATTTGTGCGTATGTACACAAAAGTGTCCCAGATTATACTTGAGTGTTGGTGGTAGGAAATTTCGATATATAGACAAAAACAAGGTTGGTGAATTTTATAATTAATTTCAAGCTAACAAAAAATGTAAAAAAAATTAATATTTATTTCTACAAATAAATGAGATAGTAAACTCCAATATCGATATGCGAAAATATCATCACGTACTCAAAAGGGTTACATCTACAAAAAGAAACCAAAAAAAAAAAAAAAATCATTGATCTAACGATGTACAGTTTCTTTAAAATAGATTTTTTACGAATTTTTTCTATTTTAAATTCAAATAATTATTAAAAGGTTTATATAATTCAATGGCCCTTAAAGATGAAAAAATATTAATAATATTAATAATTTATATCTATGAGGTTAAGTGCACAAACTTAGGATTTAGACATTCTTTTAAACTCAGATTTAAAATAACTAAGTCAAGATGCTTAAATAATTGGCATGTTTTACTTTATTCAATTTATATGTTTTATAGTTTAGGGGTTTATTTATACATTTTTATAGTTTAAAATATAAAGTGATACTTCTCAATAATTTAAAAATTCATCTGTATATTTTCATTATTTATAAGGTCAAAATGATACTTCCAATAGTTTAAATATTTTTCGTGTAATACAATGCATAGAAAAAACTGCCATATCACCCGAAGCCCAAAACTGCCATATCAGCCCAAGCCCATGAGGTACCAGTGAGCCCATTATGAAGTAAAAAAACAAGGTTTCCGGCCGGCCCATTTACCAGCGGATAATTATGTTTAACTAATCAGAAAGAGTAGCATTTCTCAACCAGTCAAAACACTAAAAATATCAAACTTCTTATATTAAATAACTCTAAATTATTCAAGTAATTTTTATTTTATATTAGTTATTAAACTTGGTCTACATTTTGAAAAAAAATACATCATAAAGCATCTCCAATGATTCAAGTTAAATAGTTAGCTATTACTATATTTTAGTAATAAATTAGCATATTACCTGTACTATGCACGAACTAAAAAAATAATTTTAAAATTAAATAATAATACAAAATTTATTTAAAATGTATAGAAAAATAATTTAGAATTGATTAAATTTTAACCATTTCATTAATTTAAAATGTGTAGTTGTTATATCATTAATTGTATATTTTAAATTCTCAATGAGAAATAGATGTCATAATTTAATTGGTAAAGATAGAAAAAAAAAATAGAATAAATTACAAAAATTATATTTATGATAAAATAAAAATACATGCCGTAATATAGTTTTTTTTCAATTTTATTGTATTTTATGTTAAAAGTTGTCCAATTATATATGGCTAAAAATTTCAATTATATTTTCTATTTCAATATTTTTAAATTACAAATAAATAAATTTTATTTGGAATCTTTTTTTAAATCTCAAATTAGATGCAATTTAGATAAGATTGATTTTATTATTATTTTCCATCTACAATTTCTTAAATTCAAAAAAAACATGATATAAATCCATAATTTTATACTACGTATATCTTATGCCAGGCATTTTTTATTTAAATGTATATATAGAAGGCTTAGATATGATTAAAATATATAGTTACAAAGAAATGTGTTTTTAAACATAACACATGTATTTTTTAATGTGACATACAAATTTGCACTGCACATTTATTTTTTTAATTTATATTTACATGTGTCATGTGAAATTTCTTTTGTAATTAATAAAGGTGCTATAAATATTTTAACACTAAAAAATTCTTAGTTTTTTAGACACCACATGTATTGTTTAGTTTACAAAAATAAGAATATAAAATTTTGTAGTAAATATTTTTAAAATTTGAAATTATATAAGATTAAAATTATATTTGAAATTTTCTTTCAAAGATTTTTAAATTTCAAATTAGGTATGAGTTTATATATATATATATATATATAGAAAGGAATTAGATATGAGTTAGATATGCCCTTTTGTTTTTTAAATTTAATTTAATTTTCTATATTAAGAATTTTAAATTCCAAAACCATAGATATGATTAGATGAATTAATATTTCTGTGCCATTTTCGTAAGATTCACAATTTTTAAAAAAATTAAGAAATTTGAATTAATGCTTTGGAATGAATAAAAAATTACTTTTTCTTAATATATAGTATAGATATAGATAGATTAGTGAATCCTACATAAAGTAAGGTTTAATTTGATACTATGATTTTTAAAAAAATCAAATGAACTAAATGAATATGAGGGATGATATCTCTAAATATGTCGGGATTTTAAAAATCTTCATCCTCGCACCACTTTTTTTTTTAATGAAATTTGAGATTTTGAATATTATATTTTATATATTTTGAATGATAAATATTTGGAGAGATGATTGACTTAAAATGATTTTAAATTATGTGTCAATTTTTAATGTAATTTGATAGATTGTTTTTCATATTTAGTGGCCCCCAAATTTGAATTTTGAAATGGATTAGTGTATTTTTTGTTTAAAAATCATAAATCAAGGAATATTAATTTCTTTAACTTTTTTTGTTTTTCTTGAATGAGAATAGCCAATAAAAGATTTTTTAATTATTTAAAATCAAAAAATTAAAAATTTTAGAATGAAAATTTAAAACGCTTAAAAAGCTTTTCATTAAAATCCCCCATTTTCCTTACTATATTTAAATATAGTTGATGCATCGAGTAGCTGGACATTAAAGTAATATAATAATAATGATATGATAATTAATTCTGATAAACAAATATAAATGTCAAGCATTATTAAATAGGAGAATCATTTCTCCCCAATTCAAACATGAACTTGATTTAAGCGTAACATATCATTTTTGTACCAATCAAATATCTAAATTTGTTTTTACTTACTCCCACAAAACACATGAGAGGAACTCTCTTACTCACGATTTAAAACTGGTAGTTGTGGTCTTTGCTTTAAAAATTTGAAGGCATTATCTTTATAGTGAGAAGTTTGAGGTGTTTTCTGATCATAAGAGTTTGAAGTATCTATTCTTGCAGAAATATTTGAATTTGAGGCAAATAAGGTGAATGGAGTTTATAGAGGATTATAATTTTGTATTGCACTATCATCCAGGGAAAGCCAATCTAGTGACCGATGCCTTGAGTATAAAGTCCTTTAGCAGTGTAACGAGTATTACCATCCAAGAATGAGAGATGTTAGGTGCTATTAGCGAGTTTGATTTGCATCTTGGCGAGTTCATTGAGTCGACAACTTTGTTTTTGGTAGTCGCACAACCTACACTTGTGAGCAAAGTTATAGAAGCACATAAGGGTGATCTTGAGGTAGAAACCCTCTGAGAGAATATCTCTAGTGGGAGGGTAAAGAAGGGCTTGAACATATATTCTGACTCGAGTGTTAAATACCTTGACCACCTTTTTGTGCCAAAGCCTTGTCGAGAGAAGGTACTCTGAGAGTTTCACGATTCACACCTTGCGGTGCATCCAAGAGACACAAAGATGTATCACAACCTTAGCCACCAGTTTTGGTAGAAGGGAATGAAGAAGGATGTAGCCGTGTTTGTGTCGAGGTGCCTCACTTGTCAACAAGTTAAGGCCGAGTATCAGAGGCCAGTGGGTTTGTTGCAACCCTTGCCTATAGCCGAATAGAAGTGAAAGCATGTCACGATGGATTTTGTTGTGGGCCTTTCGAGGACTCAAAAGGATAATGATGCCATATGGGTGCTAGTTGATCGGTTGACTAAGTCAACACACTTTGTACCTATGCGCACGAGTGACTCGATCAATTATCTAGCCAACCTTTACATTAGAGACATAGTTTGACTTCATGGGATTCTTGTGACTATTGTTTCAAATAGAGATCCGCTTTTCACGACTTAGTTACGGCAGAGCCTACAGAATGCTTTGGGCACTAGATTGACTTTTAGTATCGCCTATCATCCTCAGACTAACGGGCAGTCAGAGCGTACCATTCAGATCCTTAAAGATATGCTTCAGGGTTGTGTTCTTGACTTTAACGGGTATTGGGAGAGGCACTTGCCTTTAGTGGATTTTTCTTATAACAACAGTTTCCAGTCGAGTATTGGTATGACACTGTTTGAGACCTTGTACGATCGACTGTGTAGATCTCCTGTGTTTTGGGCCAAGGTGGACGATACACCTTGATAGGTCCAGAGTTAGTCCGGAAAATGATGGAGAAAGTTGCACTTATCCGTAAGAGGTTTGTTACGGCTCAAAGTCGTCAGAAGAGTTATGTCGACCGTAGGAGGAGACCGTTGTCTTTTAAGGTAGGAGATCACGTCTTCTTGAAGATATCACCTAAACGGGGTTTGATGAGGTTTGGGAAGAGCGAGAAGTTGTCTCCTAGGTTTATTGGACCTTTTAAGATCCTAGAACGGATTAGGAAGGTAGCTTATCATTTGGACTTGCTGCCACAACTTTCCAAAGATCATAGCATGTTTCATATTTGTATGCTTCAGAAGTAGGTGTCGGATCCTTCACACGTGTAGCGACCCTAATTTTTTTAAGTCATTATTTATTATTTTTACTTTAATTTTTTTGACTTTATTAATTGTGTAGATACATGAGAATTTAACATCGTATTTAATTAATTTAATATGATATTTAATTATATATAATTAATCTGAATATTTATATATATTTATATTATATATATAAAGTGATATATATATATATATAGATCTTATATAGCATATTTATATATGTTGTATTTATATTATATTTGTAAAATATAATATATTATCAATTAGGTTAAAAGCAAAAGCCTGTTGTCACTAAGAAGAAGGGGAAAAAAGAGAGAGAGAGAGAGAGAGAGAGACTGTGATTAACCATCAAAAAAGCCGAGAGAGAGAGAG